ACGTCTGATTAACATGTAAACACAAGCTACGAGCCTTTAGGCCTGCTGCTGAATTCTGGTCTGAGCCAGATAATTCGGTCCGCATATCTAAACCATATTTGAAACCAATTTCAACGTTATTGTCCTGCTTTCGTTTAGGCTTGCTAGGTGGTCTCTTCTCTTTAGGTTTTCCGACTACAATTTTGTATGCATCTCTAATGTACCCATATATGCTACATCATCCTCTTTGATTTGATCACTCTAACAATACATAGTGAAGCGGGCAAATAATGAAGCTGTCATTGCGTAGTCTGCATCCTCCTACTTTCTATCTCTTGCGCTCAAATAATTTCATCGGCAATTTGTTTGCGAATCATTCAGTCATATTGGCCTCTTAAAGTGAGACCAAGTTGCGAACCCATACAAAAGCCGGCAAATTAGAGTTCTGTGTGTATTTTAATTTGCAGGTATTTAGTTAGGAAAGGAGAAGACGCTACTAAACTGGATGGTAATAAACATTCGTTAAATTGTATTTGTTCTTAATTATTTTGTGTTTGTAATCTTGATTCATAACTTGTACTTTTCACCAAGTATTGCTAGGATGACCAGGTCAAGGAAAATGAAATGTGCTGAACATATAGCATGGATGAGGGATAAAAGGAATGCACATCTTGGTGGGAAAGCCAGAAGTAGAGAGATCACTACAAAGATTTAGGTTTGGGTGGGTGGATAATATTAAAATGGATCTTAAAGAAATAAAATTGGGTGTATTGAATGGATTGCTCTGGCTCGGGATAGAGACCAGTGGAGGGCTCTTGTGAACAAGGTAATAAACCTTCGGGTTCCATAAAATATTAGAAAGCCCTCGAGTAACTGCACAACTGGCGGCTTCTCAGGAAGGGCTCAACTCCATGGAGTTAGTTGTAATTCTGATTTGTTAATATCGTTCCCAAATATTTGAGCTTTGTAGCATTCCCAGTGAATTCATTCGCTTATACTAAGTACAAATCTGTTGTGAGGAACAGACTTCATAATCCTAAGCTTCCTTCACTTAGATTTTTATAAATTCGTAATAACTGGTGGCAGTCAACGAAAGTATAATTTTATCATCGGAAAAGCGCAAGAAATTTCATGCAACGAGAGCTTTACTGATTCTCCGATGCAAGAAACAGACCTATCTCTTCAATAAGTTCTTCCTCAGCAACTCGTAATCTTCTTGTCGTGTTTATGAATATCATTATGAATTTTCTAATCATTTTGGTAATTCCTTAGCTATGTTTAGCATACACGTCATCTACGCTGTTTACACTGAAACAGACAACGAAATTATCGAAGGCATATTTTGGGGAAATCTTGGAATCTTAAGAGCTGTACTTAATTCACTATACGTAAACAAATGGTGATTACTCAGGCCGCGCTATAGCTCAAGCGGTTAGTCGCTGGCTTTCCACCTCGGCGGCCCGGGTTCGATCCCAGGTCTGGTCAAGTGGGGTTTGTGGTGGACAAAGTGGCGCTTAGGCAGATTTTCTCCGAGTACTTCGGTTTCCCCTGCCAATCTTCATTCCACCAATTGCTCCACAATCACCCTCACCTATCATCTGGGGCTGGTACAATAGGCCAGAAGTGGCCGCAGTACAAGGGACTTAGTCCCACCCCACTAGCAATAAAAAAATTGTGATTATTTTTTTCATACTTCCAACGTCTTCAATGGGCCATATTTTGATTTATCTAGTAAAATATCATAATGTTGTGTCTATAATTAAACCTTTGTTTTGTATAGATGTGAAAAACTTGGCGTCTCACATTAAGAAACCAATTGTGATTGTTAACAGAGCGGTGAACAAATTGCTTGGACCTAAGATGGAGGAGCCGGTCACGGTAGCCGAGCGGTCTAAGGCATGTACTGTCTTCGCTCGCTTGGAAACTGGGATCGTGGGTTCGAATCCCACTCAGGGCATGGATGTTCAGTTTGTGTGTGTGCGTTTTTCTGTGTTTTTGTACATGTAGAGGCCTTGCGGCGAGCTGATCACCCGCCCAAAGGGGTCCTACCGAATGTGTAAGATCTAGAAAAACCGAAGTGAACGGAGAAGTTCATGGAGGTAGGCCTAGGCCCACTGGGGCTCTAGTGCCAAGGGAAAAAAGAAAAGATGGAGGAAGTAATAAAACGATAGCAAAAAATACTTAATGAGGAACTTGGTGTTTGTGAGTTGAGCTTCTCACGATGGAGACTATGAAGATTACTCTTCTGAGATGTGACGCCGTGTAGTCTGTCAGATCTTGCCAAGCTATCGAAGGAATATGCTGTCTTTATTTTCAGAGTAAGAAAGACTCTGTTGCCCTAAAGAAAGAGACAGTGTCTGCAAAGATCTGCAGATTTACATGTCATCACATTACAGAATGCAGAAATGTTTGTGCAACTTGTGCACTTCATCGAGTGTTAACAGGGTGATCAGAGTGAGATGGCATGCAGCACAGATGGCACAAATAAGTAATGCTTACAGAATATTTGTCGAAAAATCTGAAGTGAATACACCGCTTGAGAAATCTAGGCATAGATAATATTAAAATTGGCCTTAAGGAATATGATATGAGCTTGTAGAGTGAATTCATCTCACTCGCTACAAAGACAGAGTTTTGTGAACACGATAATGAAACTTCGAGTTCCAAAGAAGTTCGGAACTTTCTCTAGCAACTGAGAAAATTTCAACGTCTCAGGGACCCTCTACCGATTAGTGTTAGTCAGCGAATTGGTCGCGCTATAGCTCAAGCGGTTAGTTGCTGGTTTCCCACCGCGGCGGCCCGGGTTCGATCCCGGTTCTGGTCAAGTGGGATTTGTGGTGGACAAAGTGGCGCTGGGGCGGGTTTTCTCCGAGTACTTCGGTTTCCCCTGCTAATCTTCATTCCGCCAAATTCTCCATCATCATAATCACCCGGGACAGGCTACAATAGGCCAATCAGTGGCCGCCATGCCGAGTGCACTCAGTTGGACTCCACCCCCAACTAAGCGAATTTAAAAAGAAAATTAAAAATTTTAGTCAGCGATTTAAGTTATTTTGAAGCAGGCAGTACACATACTATTTCGTTATAAAGGTCTAGCGCTAGCTGAAATCTGTACGTAACTAATCACCGCGTCATGATGATGAAGGCTACTGCCACGAGTTTAGCCATTACATTTAAAAATTCATGAAAGTTATCTCTTTGAACCATTTTGTTTAGGTTATAAATTATTTCAAGAGTAATGAAAATTTCAAGACAACCAACCCCAGTCACAATAAAGATACACCAAAAACAACTTGAGAATGTGAAATGTTTTAAATATTTGGGTAGCTTTTTAACAGATGATGGAAGGTGTACTAGTGAAATTAAATCCAGAATTGCCATGGCAAAAGCTTCATTTAGCAAGAAGAAGAATNAACGGAAGGCTAATTGGATTGGTCATGTGTTACGCAGAAACTGCCTTCTAAAAGAAGTTATCGAAGGAAAGATAGAGGGGCGGATAGAAGTGACAAGAAGACGTAAGAAGATGCTGGATGACCTTGGGAACAGAAGAGGATACTGTCATTTGAAGGAGAAAGCTCTAGATCGCATTAAGTGGAGGAATTGTTTTGGAAGAGACTGTGGACCTGTCGTCTGACAGATTACTGATAATGATGATAAATTATTTAAATGCGTCTACGGAAATATCGCTCAGCACCATCTATTAATAGGGTTCAATATTCAGAGAAGAAGTTACGAACATTGCATTTCATTCAGTATTATCCTCGTCGAGAATCGAATCCCAGCCTTCCAGCCCGTAGCCTCTCTCTATACAGACTTCTTCTACCTTAATATCAATGTGCATAATATACATAAGAGTTACAGCCTGCATTTAAAATATTTACTTTCTACTTTACGTTTTACAATCCACAACACAGAGGCAACGCATGGATGGAATATAATCCACGATCCGTTGCATACAACAGGTATCTCCTGCATATAGTACTTCACGGTCCGTAACATACAGGCAAGGCTTCATAATTCAAAACATGAACGCATGGGCACAGACTGAATATAATTCGCGATCAATAACAAACATTCAACAGTAAATGGACGATGTAACAGTAAATGTCGTACGTTCTAAATTTTATTTTAACTGCATTAATTTATATTCCACATTTCATAAAATTAAGAGTATTTACTGTTCGTGAAATGAACCCAGTGATTGAATTTCTTTACATAAAAAGCATTTATATAAATAGGAAAATTCACAGTAAGACAGCGAAGAAACCCGAGGTAAAGTAAAATTTTCCCAGTGCTTAACTAATCAAGCACTACGCCACGAAGACGTATGGGGGAGTGGATGTATAGATCCATATTTTCTTGACCTCGACATTTGTTGGAGTTGAGTTGTCAGCTTCACTCTCCGGCTGCTTTACCCCCGGGAAAGAGTCCCCAGTACCCATTGTATAGGAGGTTGGGTGAACACCACAGCAGGTCTGGACGACATGGAGGAGTAAAAATTCTTGACCCTATGGGACTCGAACTCCGATCCCTCGGTCGTCCAGCCCGTAGCCAGTCGCTATATCTCAGAGAAGAAACCCGATATAAAAAGCAAAATAAATAAATAAAGGTATCCCTATAACAGGCCGTTGAGGCCCATAGGGTTGTGAGATATTGAGGCTCCCACATTTTCTAGACAATCGGCTCATAGATGGCGGTAAGGTTGTCAGCCCTACGAGCCGGCCACCCTTTACCCCCAAGAACATTCCAAGAATATTCCTGGTACTCATCTCTGTTAGAGGCTGAGTCGACCCCAGGGCCGTAGTGCGGCTGGAAGGACTAGATAAATTGAAAATATCAAATGACCTCATTGGGATTCGATCCTGCGACCTTCCGGCTTGTAGCAAAGTGCCTCAACTAACTTCGCTACCGCGTGCCCAGAAGAAAACCGCTATTAACTAAAATTATACTAATTCATTAACTGACTGACGTGCGCCGCTGTCAATGAGGAATCTAAGTACTTATAAACAGTTTTCTCTTACCCAGGAATGAGGCAACCGTAGGGCACAGTCATGAAAGAATTATGCTTCGGCGCTGGATAATCCACAAACATACTAACAACATCTGTCTACACGAGAGTCTTGTAGCAAACTGAGACGCCTGCCGTGACTCGGCTCCGTGAGGGACGGCTGTCAGGTAGCGCGATGTGCTCACTCTTCAGCCATTTCAATGAACAATCTACGAACATGTTTCAAGTTACAAATCTCTTGGGCAATTCTGGTTCTGAAATCTTATCGTGCAAGGGGACACGAAGCGTTTTGGACCAAACTCAGACTCGCATAAAAATTTGGAGCAATAATTCTCAATTTTAAAAATATTTTTGACTTCATATTATTATTAATGTTATTAATAATCATAATGCGTTATTTTATTACTTTCTTTACACTGCAGTTATTTATATGAATACTTCACATTTTATATGCTTTATTACCATTTTTTCTTCTTCTCGTCTTGCAAACCAAATATGTTGAAATTGACACTGGATTCAATTAAATAAATATTTTTTTATTATTATTATTGCTAGTGGGGTGGGACTAAGTCCCTTGCACTGAGGCCATTTCTGGCCTATTGTACCAGCCCCAGATTATAGGTGAGGGTGATTGTGGAGCAGGTGGTGGAATGAAGATTCGCAGGGGAAACCGAAGTACTCGGAGAAAACCTGCCTAAGCGCCACTTTGTCAACCACAAATCCAACTTGACCAGACCCGGGATAGAATCCGGGCCGCCATGGTGGGAAGCCAGCGACTAACCGCTTGAGCTATGGCGCAGCCCTAATAAGAAAGTAAATAAACATGTAAATGAATTTTTTTTTTGTTAATATACTTAAAACATGGAATAACATTTTCTATCTGTACTGTAAACAACACAACCATCCACTTCACTACGCTGTTGAACTTTATGTTCCCCTTGCCGCAGTTCGGCCAAGCAGAACCAAGAAGTGCAGGTGTCGATGTGTATGGTTCAGTGCTTCATACAGCAGTAGCAAAAATTCGCGATAAAAAATTACTTCTTGTTTTTTCCCCAACTTCTTCGTTTGAGAAAAAAGACGCTGAGCAGAACATTAAGACGTAAGTGAAAGGCCGTACAAGCCTACAGGTGGCTGGAGAAAAGTGCAAGTCAAGGAACTTTTCAACTTGCACTTTTCCGTAAATATTAGGTTAAGGTGATCAAATAAAGGAGGATTAGCTGGATGCGACATAAAGCACGCACGGGGAAAGATGATATGCATACAAAATTGTAGTCGGAAACTATGAGGAGAAGTAGCCACCAGGGGAACGTATGTATAGATGAGATAATAATATAAAAATGAATCTTAAAGAAATATTATATGAAGGTGTGAACTGGGTTCAACAGGCGCTAGTGGCGTGCTCTCGTGAACGCGGTAATATACAGTAGGGTTTATTAAAGGATGGGAAATTTCTTAAAAACTTGAGTGACCGGATGCGTTGACAAATAAACAAATCTCCTGATGGAATCTAACCCTTGTCATTCAGCCAATATGTGTGATAAAATGTTTTGATTATCTGGGTTTTGGAACGTACCCCGTAATGGAATCCTGTTACTATCCAAAGCCAGTATGACATTTATCGCTTGAAATTAGTGTTTTTTTCACGTCTACAAAATTTTATCGTGCATTGTGAAATAAACGATTATACCTCTGAACGAGTTCTTACCCTGGAATGACACGATTTTCTGTCTGCTTCAGGAAATCGGATAGTTCCTTCGGCGGCAAATCAAGAAACATGACGTCACAAAACGAGGTTCTTGATCGTTCTAGGCTTCTAGATGGACTAATGTTAAGAAAACGTAGATTCGTTTTGGTTGCGCTAATATGACGCAGGCGCAGTAAACTTGCACGCTACATTTAAGTCCGCGACATGGGTTGGTCCCAAGATATTGAATTGCTGTCTCCTTTAGGTTATACTCGAACGGCGTAAAGGTACAGGAGCTGTACAAAAATTCAGCCGTCCCTCTCAGCTATGCCTTAACTTCTGTTCAGAGCACTGTGATAGTCGGATACACGAACTGTTAGTTTTTCTTCGCTTGCTGACACAATTTGAGATACAGAACAATTATACTGCCAAAAGTACTGTAGAATTTAGGAGATTTGTTGAATACTACTGGCAACTACAAATGATACACATACAAGTATTATTTTATACTTTAGATCCTGTTTTTAACTTACTTTCCTGTCTCAAGGGAAATAGGATAGGCTTGCAAGGAAGTGTGTATGGGTCCCTTAACTTTTCGAACTGACGATTCTTAGAAACTGTGAAATGAATGTTATGCTATTAAATATCAATTACTCAGCAATAATTAATGGAAGAGGGGTAGGAATATATTTAAGGGAAGAAAGGTTTAGGGCTGAAAATTGACGTCCATAATCATAGATGCTGTCTACTTAGTTGCAGCCTATTTGCACCGTTTTAAGGGGCCCATACACATACGAGTCTGGCTCGGGAGCCGGGCTTTGATTAATTTTACCACAAATGCATGAGCTGACTCTCAACTTTGTGACCCACACATGGACAAGTTTGGCTCACTGGAAGCCGAGCTGAGTCGGACTCACGAGCCAGACTCGTACCTGTATGAGCCCCTTTAAGGCATCGAATATATCCTTCCTGACAATATATATGTAGGGCAGTGGCGTGCCGTGCATGGAAGCAAGGGAAGCATTACTTCCGTAGTTAAGAAACGAAAAGAAAAGAAGTCATATATAAATAATTGAATTTGAATAATAAGGATTTGAATATTGTCATTTAGCGCGTGTTCCTGCTCAAGGCCACATGCCTCCTCCTTCTCCCTTCCCTTGCTTGGTGGGACGGACAAAGTTTTCTTCGTTATTCTCCGTTAAAGTTCGTCGCACACGAAGTGGGCAAAGAAGCGACTTTCTTTTTGCGGGCTAATGCCTGTGATATGGAAGCGAAGGCCTGTGTTCTTTCAGTCTTGTTGGGTGTTATAGGTAACATTAAGTTTTATTAAAATATTGTAAGTGTATATTTAGATGGCGTAAGATTGTATTTTGACGCATCAGAAAGAAGCTATCTGCGTTTAAGGGCAGCAAATCTCTTACTGCGGTACACGGGCAGGGGGGTGATTAGATTACATGCACAGGCCACAGCTAAAATGAATGCTGGCAGACAACGCGGCTGCGACTGTGCATTCGAAAGCCTTTTAAAACGGAGGTTTAATAGCAGGGAATTTTCTGAAAAGAAAATAATTATAGAAAGAGGACGACCGACATGAGGGGTGCCAGAACTTAAAGCACAAACCAAATTTAATTCAGAATAGTATTCTAAAACAGAGTGGCTATCCGATTGCCGAAATAGGAAAGTGTTTTGTTGGTAATGCCTATTGTTTCTCAAGGAAAATATGTATGGCACAAGACTGGGTTTGGTGATACCAACAAACTTCATAAAGCATTGAAACGACATGAGAACTCTCAGACTCACATTATTTCAACAATGCAACTTGTTATGTTCAGGAAATCTCGAATTGACTGTCAACTTGATACTCAAAAGCGCCTGACGATACTACATAGAGAAATAATGAAACGTTTGATTGATATCATCTGCCATTTAGGAAAGTGGCAACTTGGTCTTCGTGGTCATGACGAAAGCATGGATTCTATCAACCAAGGTAATTATGTCGAATTAGTTCACTTGTTGAGGAAATATGGTCATAAACTCAATGTTCACCTTGAGAACAGTACGGTATTTACAGGTTTATCGAACAGAATACAAAACGACCTCATTGACTCAATAAGTGACAAATTTTGGTGAGTTGATTGCTATCAGTTCGTTTATTAGATGCCACTGCTTCCCTTACCTAAAATAGTACCGCACGCCACTGATGTAGGGGCACATTCCTGAACCTTCGCTGTAACAGAGTCCTTTATAATATGTGATGATCACATCTCCAGGAATGTTTATTAATCTGTGGTGGGGGCTACCTACTTCATCACTAATAGATGAAGTTGGATCCGAGTTATGAATTATGTGTGACAGGGCTGTTGAACAGGTTACATGGTCAAGTTGTACCATATTAGAAATCATGACATACATCCATAAAGCTCTGAAACATAAAATTAAAAACACACCATTTTATAGAAACTCTCTGTACTGGTCTTTATAAAGGTAGTCTCATTTTCACACTGTGAAATACCAGTATAAATTTTTCCATCGTGTCTTAGGCTTCAGCAGATCAGGCATAATGGGAAGTTATGTATGTAAATCTGACAAGTATGAAGAGTATTGAACTTATGAGTTCATCAAAAAGAAAACAAAAATACGAACTGCAGAGGATACTTGGAAATAAGTAATATGAGAGGATAATTATATATAGCACTTTGCCCTGTGTGGGAACAGTGCATCATGGCTTACTATCTCAGCATTTGTCTCAGATGGAAGAATACTATACAGAACCTCTGTTAGGATAGGTAGTCTCCAGCACAATGATCCAACTTGGCATGCCCTGAATACGAAGGAAGAATATTTATCACTAGATTGTGACATTCTTCTAGAAGAAATTTACTATGTCTCCCAAACACATGTATCAGGGATTAACTACTGTAAGAACAGTACTGTGTTTCCAAAAGGAAAACATGATACATGCATGCATCTTACCATACCCCTATAGAACCATGACTGGAAACTTGGGAGGGGGGGGGGTTACTATCTACGTGTATTTAGTTCCGGGGCATTTCATTTTAAGGAATCTATTTCCACTATATTAAGACACACAATAAACATCCCAAAGATAAGTTCAGGAACAAATTCTCAAACCTATATTGTAATTATTTCTTTTCATATTTGTTGGCCACTTTTACAAGGTTATCTATTGATCTGGAGGGTCTGCTTAGTTCTGAAAAGACATTTGTGCCCTCCTCCACATAACACGTTATCTCCATGCAGATTTTTTAGGGAAGTGGTCTCCCTAAATTATTGAAGTTTAATAAAAATTGTTAAGATTCATTTTGAAGAAAATTGCCATTGTGTGATTTTTGGGTCCCTCAGACAGGTCTTTATTTTTGGAGCTGGAATGTTCAAATTCACCAGACACTGACTAACAATGGATGAACTCTTGAATACTGAATATGAATAAAATCTGTCCAACCATTCAGGTACTAGTATGGTGTACATACATACTGAGAGGATGGCATACCAAAAAATATCCTTTCATATTCAGGGGGGTTCAAAACATGTAGCTACATCAGAATACTGAGATTAATTTTTTTCACTATCCCAGTATTTTTTCACACATATACTACATACAAAACAAAGTAGAAATGGAAAGTTATTTCAAGTTTGTAAAAGGCACATTATAATATCTGACAGAGACATTCTTACGGTGAGAGTCAGGATGTCACTGTGAGGCTGGGTGGTGGGTGTGGGTATGCTGTGATCTCAGATGTGCACAGATCTGTGCATTAGATATGTATATGCCAACCTGTGGATAACTGATACTCAACCCTGTATTGTATAAAGAGTGTCTCAACATAAATTTTTAAATGCTATGCAGTTTCAATAATGATAGCATCATTAAATATCAAGCTTAAAATTTAACAAAACCCCTGTTAAACATGGGATTACTGCATTGAGTTCTTACATGAAGAGAATTTACTTACCAGGTATGTATATCAATTACTTTAAAGGCATGTTCTTATATGTATCATCACCAAGGGTACAATTATTGGATATTGGATAGCAGTGGCCTTGAAATTTATTTTTCACTCTTTCGTGAATATATTTCAGTATTTGTTACCACTGTAATATTTACAAGACAGAAACTCTTGCAAAAATACATGCAGTTCTTTGTTATATGGAAATTTCCAAGAGTTGGCCAACACATCCATACAATGTCAGTTTGGACTACATAAAAGACAAAACTGTTACATAAGAAAGTTTGATATAAGTACAGGGTCCCCACACAGTCCAATCACAGATTGAGTTTGATCTCTCACTCACATGACATTTCAGTATCTGTTAACTGAATATCATGTGTTGAATTACACTGTTTGTACCGACCAGACAAAATAAAGGTAACCACCGACAAATCTATTGTCATAAACTATAAGCTCACAATTTAAATATTCCCATACAGTGATGATCCTTCATTTTACAATTTTACGAGTGTGATATTAACTTACAACATATCAATTAATCTTCAGGAACAAACATTAAAACTAGACGCACAAAATAGAGTAATCACTGAAGTGTAAATCAAAGTAACAATTTGCCACAAAGACATGAAGAATGCAGATAGTTATAAAATGTACCACAATAGGTCAATGCTCCCATGAAGTGAATAAGAAACAATTTGGTAAGATGAACACAAAAAGGCCGCGCCATAGCTCAAGCGGTTAGTCGCTGGCTTCCCACCACGGTGGCCCAGGTCTGGTCAAGTGGGATTTGTGGTGGACAAAATGGTGCTGGGGCAGGTTTTCTCAGAGTACTTCGGTTTCCCCTGCCAATCTTCATTGCACCAAATTCTCCATTCTCGTAATCACGCGGGGCAGGTACAATAGGCCAATCGGTGGCTGACGTGCCGAGTGGACCCAGCTGGACTCCACCCCCTCACCCCCAAAATGCGAATAAGATGAACACAACATTCCTTCACAAGGCATAGGTAATATGTGTTTACAGATGCATGACAGGGATTAAAATATCCTTTAGTTCTTTTAATACTCTTCATATACTAGGACTATTAGACTATTCAGAGAGTAACCTCCATTTATTTTAGGAAAGTAATATAGGAGCAGGGGAGAACTCACACATGTCAGGTATATCACATGACACACTGCCTTTTAAACCAACATATAACAGACCACCTAGTGCTTGTTCTTGTCTCTACAGAGTGAGTTATGTTGAGTCGTGTGATTGATAATAATGCCAGCTGTGAAATTCGTGCTGTTGTCTGCTTTCTTTATGCTAAAAACAAGTGCTGCAAAAATCCACTGTGAATTGTGTGCACTTTATGGTCAAAATGTAAACAGTAACGGAACTTAGGACATCACTGTAGAATGTTCAAAGTTGGGTAGACGAACAAATGTTCATGATGAAGAGTGACATGGTCAGCCATCTGGTGTGGGTGATGATTTTGTTCAAAGTGAAAGATGGCATTTCTCAATTTTAGAACTTCTGTGTGAATCTCCACAAATTTCACACAGTATTCTCTATGAAATTATTACACTTAGGCTAGGCTAACACAAGTTTTGTGCAAGATGGTTCCAAAATGCTGAAAACACAGAGAATGGCTTTGGCTTTAAATTTTTTTAAGTGATACCACAAAGATGGCAATGAATATCTGAATCATACTATACGAATAACAGGTAATGAAACTTTGGTTTCATTTGTGAATGCTGAAGCTAAGGAGCAAACAAAGAAGTGGATGAACACACATTCACCAAACAAGCCAAAAATGTTTAAACAAACACTGTCTGCCAGAAAGCTGATGGCAACTGTTTTCTGGAACAGGAAAAGAATGCTCAGGGCGCAATTCATGCAACAAGAGACCATAATAACATCACAAGTGTACTGCAAAACGCTAAAATAAGTGTAGGCAATTCAGAAAAAAAAGGCAAGGAATGCTGACATGTGGCATAATGTTCCTCCATGACAATGTGTATCCACATATCTGCTTGCACTTGAGTATTGCCAGAGCAGTTCATCTGGGAGGTGCTTGACCACCCTTCTTACAGCCCTGACCTCACTCCAAGTGACTACCTACCTGAAGAACTGGTCAAGATCACAGCAGTTCAACAATAATGAAGAGTTGATGGAAGGTGTCGAAATGTGGCTGAGCTAATAAGCGGCAGGCATCTTTGACACAGGCATACAAAAACCTGTTCTCCAGTACAACAAATGTCTCAATTCCAGCAGTGACTATGATTTAAAGTAGCTTAAGTATGTATGTATGTATTTTTTATATATAATACTTTTCTTTTCTGGTTGGTTGTTTTGTTAACAGTTTACTGGAGTTTACTTTCCAGATAGCCCTCGTACATATATACAGACTTTTGTCAACAAACTCTTTCATTTCAGCTTCTGATCAAATACTTTAGAATTATGAAAATCATATAATTTAAATGAAATAAACATAACTATTATCACACAATTTTGCAAAATATATAAGCATATATATGTAAGAGCAATTTACAATTTATATATTGCTGTTGGAAGACTGTGAACTATGATTTATGCAGCTCATTGAACAAATGTACCAACGTGTTATTATATTTCATAAACTTGTATGTCTGCTACAAGTAAGAAAATACTTTCAAAAATATTTGTAACCCTTCTCAGGATTCAGAACAAGGAAAAATCTAATGTTTTCTAAAAGTCTCAAGGATCTTGAGAATCTCAATGAACAGATTAATAAGATCCAAGTACAGGCTGACGGTGGCAAAGATGTATTCCTCTGGAGACAGCTTCTGCATCAACATCTGGACAAAATGAAACAGTGTTACTTCTACAGGATAACTTACATTCATTTCAGTCATAATTAACCCTTCATGTTATACTCTGGCAAAACCGATATCTAAAAGTTGACATCATTACACTGCTGCTGTTCTGACACCGCATTTACGTGATATATATATACAGATATATAAGTGATAATAGTGAGGTTATCCCTTTACTTAGGCAGCAAGCCCTAACATTCTTTGGGGAATGGAGGTGTAAAACTGTGCAGATGTGAATGTGTAGGCAAATCCCCAAATCAGTTTTCATGAAGATCTGTACAGAGGTTCGTACATTGCTATGTGCAGGCAGGCAGGCAGACATACTGCATATGGTGATGCTAAAAGGCACATTTCACTGTCAATACACCAGTAACCATCAAACAAAGCATGTAAATTGCCCTGTTACAACCAATATAAATTCCCTTAAACACAGTACCTGGGTATCATATATGATGTAGAGACAGAAAATAACAGCCCCTGCCCAGGACAGGACTAACTCCATAGCTGAGCTTGCTATGAAGCACGATAACAAGGATCCAACTAACAGACAGCAAAGAGCAGCAAACAACCTGCAAGAAATAACTTTTATTAACATGATCCAATCTGTGGTTGGAGTCTTTATAAACAACCAGAGAAGAACTGAAGCTTTCATGATGACTGAGTACAATTAAGTCTTCTCAGACAATAGGCTGTTGTCAGTAGACACTGAATTTTCAACATCTTTGTTATAACGGACTGATGTGTGAGTGACCAAGCATACAGTTGGCTCCAGAGCCCTGAGTTATTGTCTCGAAACCAAGAGTAGAGCAGTCAATAGTGTCGGGCATTCACTCATCCAATCTAGGACAACATATAATATCTGGTGAACAGCATCAAGCTCTTCATTATGTAATTTTATTCATCCTCACTACTTCCTTCTCCTCAGGTCCAAATACTATCCTCAGAACTTTGTTCTCTAAAACCACCAATCCCTGTTCTTCCTCCTATATAGAAGTTCAAATTTCACACCCACAAAGAAAAAAAGAATTCTAGATAAACCTGACAGTGAAAGCGAAATAAAAATCTCACTATATAATGTAATATAGTATGAGAAGGAAAACATGTCAATCCTGTGTTGGAAAAAAATTATTTGTAAAATTCAAGAGACTTACCCAGATCCAAGTGACGAGAAGTCTCGTTTAGATTGGAATGTGTATGCTGTCAGTCCAAGGAAAACAGTCACTGTGAGGATCAATGCTTGGAACACAATAACTACATCACAGAAAGTGATGATCACTCCAACAAAGTATGCCTGAATCACAGTCTGAAAAATGAACAGTATTGTGTTCCATGACACATCAAGCCAGAACAGACTTAGAATTACACATTGCACATTGACTGGTAAACCACCAGACCACGGATCTCAATCATTTTGCAGCATGTAAGACTGCCTGATGATAGCAAAGTAATTTTATTTCTGATCATCGTACTACATTACAGAAAAATTCTACTTTTAAGGTTATTGTGGGGAGCAACTGATTTGAATGCTAAACTGTGGGAAACCTCAAATTGATGATCTTTAAACAGAGGTTCTGCTTGAATATGAAGGTTAACACAGTTATGACATGCTTCAGCAACATGCCACTAAATCACATAACCAAATGCTGTGGTTGACATATTAACAAACCTGCTTCACATTTTGGAGGTCCTGGATTTGAATCTTGGCCCAGAGATGAAATAATCTAACAGGAATTTCAGGGCTTTCTCTTAGTTCCTCCAGGCAAATGCTAGAATAGTACCTCAATGACCATAATTTCTTTGTTTTACATAATTTTGAAATCATTATTCATAATTCATCCTACCATTTGACACTACATAACATTTAGAGTAAACAATGTATCATTAAATGTGAACAAAACTCAATGAATCAGCCAGTAGCATCATATGGAAGAGCATGATGGCAAAGCTTTATGCAGACATGAGCTCGGTATTATATCAGAGAGTAAGAATTATTTCTTCCTTGGAGAACACATGGGTCTGTTACAGGCAAAGTTATCCCTGTAGCATGCTGTGAAGGCTCACAGGGTTGTGAGACGTCAAGGCTCCCACATTTTCTCTAGACAACTGGCTCACAGATGGCGGTAAGGTTGTCAGCCTTACATGCCAGCCTTCCTTTATGCCTTCCCCCCCCCCGGAAGATTCCTGGTACTCATTTTTGTTAGAGGCTGAGTTGACCCCAGGGTCATAGTGTGGCTGCAAGGATTAGGTAAATTGAAAAAATCCACCTCATCTGGATTTGAATCTGCGACCTTCCAGCTTGTAGCACAGTGCACCAACCAACTACACTACTGCATGTCCTCCATGGCTCTATTATGAAAAAAATTTAAGAGCCAAGATTTTTATCCATTTTGTTTATTTTTTGTTTACAATGCACCCTCAGACTTGAAAGGATTCTGACGATGGTGTATACTGTACTTCTTTTGGCTTGTTTTGGACGTCGTGGTATTTTGTCTTTTACATACCAGACGATGGATGAAGTCCAAAACAAGCCAAAAGAAGTACCCTGAGTGTTATGGATGACAAATTAAAAATAAAGGGGCACATTATTAATGATATCTAAATATTGCCAAGGGTAACAGTTTGCCCATCCCTTATGTATGAGTATGATAACATTAAATGGTCATCTTCACACTTCAGCTGTTTTTCTATGTAAAGAGCTTCCAGAACCCAATGGGGGGGGGGAAGAAAGAAAGAAAAAAAAAAGTGGATCAGCTCCAGAGCCATTTTGGATACTGTGGTGAAGAGAAAAGTTCCAGAACCTCCCTCAACAAGGAACCAAAATCTTGTCATAGATTTCACAGTCCATTATAATAAACAGGCACACATAAGTAGCCATGGCTATTTCATGTACTTACAAATGCAGCCAGCAAAATCAAGTTTGCTGGTGAATCTTTCCTCTTGATATACAGTACTATTAGTACAATAATGCTCAGAAGAAAGGCAAACTGCAACAACCAGTCACTGCAAACATATTTTGTGGAGTTATTGTTGTAAAATATTTATTACACTTTAATAATAATAACAGTATCAACTAATAATTTACAAGTTTAATGAACTAATGCTCCAACAGTACTGCTACTGTTGTCTTGTTTAACAACTGAAAGTCATTCAGCACTCAGAGAAATGCCTTTATAGACATCAAATGCCACCATAAAAATCTGACCTGTATGTTGTCCTATCAACCTTTTTCTTAAGTCATGCATTTTAATATTATACATCCATTCACTGCTGGGTGCCAAGTAGTGTCCTCACAAGATGTTTTTCAACCAATCAAATGATGAATGAATTTCTTATTAGCTATGTCTGATTTCAATATTCCAGTTAATGTCTAAAAAAAGCGGCCTCCATAGTCTAGGGGTAATGTTCCCACCTCATGACTCAAGGTATGCGGGTTCAAACCCGGCGGAGGTCATGGAATTTTTAAGGGTGGAAAAATTCAGGGAACAAGTCCTCTGGGAGGGACTTTAAGCCGTGGGCCCCGTGTCATAAATTTACGGCACGTAAAAGATCCTCATGTCTCTAGGAGACCTCTGAACAAAATTAGGCAACAAATTTCCCACCCAAGTAGTTTCCAATACCTCTGGTAGATGGGGGAAATATCAGGTACCGAGGACCGACCTCGCTGGCTGAACAGGGCTGATAGCACGCACCAGTATCGGTACGGTATGGAGACAGTAGAAATTAAAGGGGGACGCACAACGGACCAATAACTGGTCTAAGTGCATGGGGAAATCCACCCCCTCTAATACTAACTAACTAATGTCTAAAAAGGTTTTCATTCTGTTTTTCCTGATATCTCTAAAGGGGAAATGTGTATTTCATACTAAAGAATGTTGAAAATCTAGTAATGTAAAAATGTTCAAGTTGGTAATAGTGATTTATATTCATTTGTTTTTGTTTTGTATTATAATAAAAAGTTTCTTCTTATCCAATATGGCTGTTAAGTGGTGTGTAAGCACGACACAAAGAAAATCAACAGGTTATGGGCCCAGATTTGCTCAAAAAAAAAAAAAAAAAGAGGAGAAGACAAAAGAAGAATAACGAGAAAATGGCAACCACAGAGACAGAAAAGGTAACTCATCTGCCAAAACTGAAGGACGCCGACTCATTTCCACTGTGGGATTTTGAAATCAAGATTCTGATGCGTGCAAAAGAACTGATAAACATCATTGATGGCAGCGACCCGTTAAGTAACCAAGGAAGAGACAAAGAAAATATAAGGAAATGAAAGATGCGAGATGCAAAGTGCCAATACTACATAGTGAGAACGATAGAGAAACACATGAAGACCCACACCGTGACATGCACAACCACGAAAGAAATGTACGACACCTTGAAGCAAATTTCTCAGCGAGACACCTCTCAACAGAAGTGCCTTCTGCTACAAGACTTCTACAACTTCAAGTATGACAAAACTAAGGATATGATGAGTATAAGTCATGTGCAGAATATTGCCTTCAAGCTTCGTCAACTGAACCAAAACGCTGATGAAAACATGATCATGACAAAAATAACGATTCTACCAGAAGACTACAAATATTTCAGCACCACTTGGGACTAAACGGCAACCGTGGACAGAACTCTTGACAACCTGGTGGCTAGATTGATGTTGGAAGAAGTGAAGTGCATGATGACGACTATAGAAGAGGAAAGCATAGCTTTTAAGACAGTAACTAAAACTAAAACCAAAAGTAAAACCCATTTCAAATGTTTCAATTGTAATCAAATAGGTCATGCCCAGATCAACTGCCCCAACAAAGGTAAGAGAA